GGAGTTTTCACCGCTCCTTCCAATTTGTCAACACATCCCTGGTGATGCAGCAGCTCAGGATTAGACACAAGATGCAGCCATGCCAGAGCCGAAGAGGGAGATCTATACATACACACGCACACCCCTCCTGAAAGTTTCTCCTTGTCACCCCCCAACATCCCCATTAGGACAGCAACTTCAGAGATTTTGCCCCCCTCTCCACAGCCGTATTGTTAGTGAAAAGACAGGTCAGGCCTGCAGCTTCCAGACAAATTCAAGGTTTCACAGAAAAGCAGGATTGGAAGGCAGCTCACACATCATTTAGCCCAGCCCCCAACTCAAGGCAGGTTAAACCTGATTAAATCATCCCACCTGCCTGTCTGCCTACCCTGCTCCTGAAAATCTTCCAGGCTGTTGATCCCATGACCTCTCTAGGTAGCCAATTCTGATGCTTATGGTTTCGGTGAGGCAGCATCAGTCCATTCAGAGTAGCCAACAATTGTATTTCACATGCTTTTTGTCATGCGTTATATTTAGCAGCTACTTATGAAAATACACACTGAAAAATGACACTGTTTTTCCTGCTGTGTCATTTCCATGCGAGACACCACCATGGGGATATTATGGGATTCTGAGTGGGAGGAAAGATGGTTTGCACCAACCATCCTTCTCCATTTTGTTGCAAAACATACACATCGGCCCCCACTGCTCACTCATCTCTGCTCTGGCGCGACAAGGACCGATCTCCTTATCTAAAGCAGCATGCTCACCAGGTGGTAGCCCATCAGAAGATCCTGACAGTCCTTTGTCATCGTGAAACCAAGTTCAGTTCCAGTCAATGAGAAAAGCTGACATCTAACCCTTGGCTTTTGTTTCTACCATGGGAGAAGCTTTTGCTCAAACCATCTTCTGTGATGCAGTTACAGGTATGTATAGACCTCCCGTGGAAGGGGCTCTCCTGGAATAGTTCCACCTGGTCTTTTTTGCAGCCAAGTCAGTTCATTTAAATAGCCAGCCAAACTGTAGTCATTCTTGGGAAGAACTATGCAGCTCCCCGCCCCAGCCCCAAGCTGCTTCTAGTGGCCATCTAACAAGGATCTGAAAGACCTGCTTTCACACTTTTTCCTGTTCCAAATGACAGGCTAGGGATAAGGAGCTGTGAAATGACCAGCCTATTAGAGAAATGAATCAATGCTACATGAAAAGCAAAATCCACTTTGGAGGTGCAATTAAGTGAAAAATAAAGATCAAGCATAACTTTCATTGCTAAACAACAGGGTAAATGGGAAGCTGACTAGTGAGGACCTGGGGTGGGCACAGGGATATCTCGCTCCTGCCCGCCTAAAATCCACCCACGCCGTGCTTCAGATTGAAGGCTTCCTAGAAGTTCCTCCTGAGCCCATAACTTCAGCTTGGGCAATCACAAGAAGGGGAAACCTTCCAACAGCAAGATGGCTTTGTACTGAGAGCAGCCATCAGCGAGTCTACTATTTATTTCTTATATTGAAATAGCACTGTGAGTCTTTCCTCTCCTGGTCCCCAGGTACTTCCAATTGTAGAGTTACGTACAAAGAAAGCCTTGAGCAGCTCACAAATGCAAACAGGACCCAACAACCTAACTAGGTATTTTTGTAGCCAACAAAAGACATGGTACTCTGAAAATCAGGTGTACAAAAAGGCCCTAAATGGCATCCTAAAGTAGGGCCCAACACTTGCAGTTCAGGAAGGACAGTCACAAGTTAAGGACCTGTTACCTACCAAGAGTGATACAAAAATACCAGCACCCCAGACATGGAGATCTTGGAGATTATATTTTATATTGTACCAGTCCTCACAAACACTGCAGCCAGAGAGATCAGGCCCGCTGTGATAATCCCCATAAAACATGGCCTTTAATATTGTCCCAGTCAGGCAAGTCAATGTCTTGGTAAGTCTTAAGGCAATCAGGATTCGTAGAAGAGATGGTATCTTTTATTAGACCATCAAGATTTTTGCAAAAAAAATTCCTTAATTGCAAGCTTTCAGGCACCAACACCCTTCATCAGGCATTGGAGAAAAGATTGTAAAAGTTCTCCTGGGTAGAAATGAAAGTTCATTGTTTCATAGGTGATTTCTAGGAGGATGGCCTAAAATAAATTAGTCACTAAGTATAAGTTTTGCAAAAAAGCTTAACATGAAAGGGGCAATTCTCAAGGCAGTCATCTTTAAACAAACAGTCCTCCCTTTCATGACTCAGATTTATTACGACTCTTTTTTTTTTAAATCCTACATTTTCACCGTTTTTGCAGTCTGCTCTGCTTCAACCAGTTTGGACAAAAATGCTTTACTTTCAGGCTCTTCTGCACTAGACAAAGTGGTGCAATGTTTAATTTGACAACATTGCACATAGAGCGATTGAACTCCAAACAAAAATTTGCTGAGTCAAGGGGAAAAAAAAGTGGAGATATTGCTGCTAGACACTGAGTTTGTGAAACCTAAAAAAAGTGTGTGCGAGTGAGTGCAAGTAAAAAAAAGGGTAGATTTTGCTGTTGGATGGAGTTTGTGAAATGTGTGTGTACCAGTGCCCCAAACTACACATGGGAAACAACAATGGGAAGATTTACACACAGCACAGGGAAGTGTTTTGCATCCCAAAACAAAAATGCACACTTCTATTCTACAGGTCTACACACATACCTATATATATTGCTCCAATATGTTTTTCTTTTAGTTTAAATAGTTGCCCTGAAATTCGGCTAGCATCTCCTGAATCACTACAGACAACCACATGTTAAAAGTGGCTAGGAAAAAAAGGGAAACAGACTGGTTTGTCTTCCACATCCAAACTCACGGCAAACACAGCACCAGAGGACGAAAGCTGCATTTGATTTCTTCATTTTTTTTTAAATTTTTTTTTAGTTCTTTGCTGTGCCAATCTTCAGCTCGCATTGTTATCCAGCTGAAGACTTTTTTTTCCAACCTGACCATATCCTCATAAAAAAAGGCGCACCATATTTAAGACAGGTCACAAGGAAGCCACATTATCAATCATTTCATAATATATTAAGCCAACTGTTGGGGTGTGGGGGGGATCTCTAAGGCCTCAATGCTGCTGGAAGCACTCACGTGGACCATCAGTAACTTCAGTGCAGCTCCAAACAGGTTTGCCGGTCCATAGCCCCTTGCAGAACCAGGACTATTTTCAATAATCCGTTTCCACAGAAGAAAACATGCAGTTGCTTAGCCTGAGGGATCAGGTAGAGACCACCCCATGCAACTTTCCTCTTCCCCTCTGGACCATTTTATCCTACAGGCCCTTGGTCCAAAGCAGGATGCTGTGCAATCATAAAGCAAGTGCACATCCATAACGGGCCACAAGAAAGCAGAGCCCCCCAGAAAAAACAGGCTCTGACACGGTACCCTGCAAGTTTATATTTGGCCAGTCTGTTAGAAGCCAGCAGTGCCAGGCCAGCTCTCAGGAGCAGCAAGTGTCTTTTCTTACCTTTGTAGAGTGCCTTGTGAGAGGGGGCTACTACTGCAATAAAAGTTTTAAACTACAACCATCAGCTTATTTAAAAAAAAAAAAAAAAAAAAAAAA